CTTTGGTATTCTTTCTTATGGGCTTTTGTTTAATAACTTTGCACGCGTTACACGTCACAAGTCCTGCGTTACTACCCACGTGTTAAGATTTTCCCTTGGCCGGGCAGCAAGGGGACATTTTGTACAGAAGCAATGGAAAGATGAGTGAAAACGATACATTGTTTTTCACCGAAGACGGAAGAACCACAGTTGTTCTATAGTATGTGGAAGCCCGTGTCGTCTCTAAGTAAAGTGGCGTTGAATGAATTAATATATATATATATATATATATATATATATATATATATATATATATATATATATATATATATTTCACTTAATAGTTTTTGATATATTTGGCCTATATTTGGACAACAGAACTTATTTGTGTAATAAACGTAAAAATTATGCACTTATTACCTAATTAACAAATTTTATTGTGCACACTACGAACTCCAAAGTTATTGTTCACTTTCAAAAACCCCCAACACTCGAGCAACTTTCCGTCTTGCATGGCCTTATTCAAAAGGTGTCAGTAGCCTACACATGATTATCTTGGTTAAAGTCATCTCCAGCTGAACATATAGGAATCCTCATGTGTAACCCCAAAAGAACAAGTTTTAAAAGCTTAATCACCAGCGTAAAGACAACTAATCCACGTATTCTTTTATTGACAGGTGGTTTCAAAATTACATTTCAAAGCGCAGCTCAATCATTAAAAAAAAAGAAATAGAAAGAGAAACCTGTAAATGTGTATTTAGTTCACTGGGAACAACTTTTGTTTTGATAATCACATCCAACTACAAAGCACCTTGAAAATTTTCAGAATGGTTTTTATTTCCATTTGTTCATATGCATATACATAATCGTATGCACTTTGAGGAAATGGAACCATTTTGTTAAAGCAGCTACTCTTTGGGCTAAGGACAGTCGATTCTGCATTTGTCGCCGTCCCGAGAGACCCGGATTTTGTTTCCAGGACAGCCACACCCTGTGCTACACATCAGATTGCAAATGAAACCTGCAATTAAGCGCGGATTTTGATCTTTTGCTTTTTCCAAAATTGTTACAGAGTTATGGAGAGTGAGAGAAAGGGAAGATTATAGGCTGGTTAGTTGGGGGAAAATGCCGTTTACCCCTGTACAGAAATGTTGATCTTGTTGGCAAATGATAATATAACGCTTTTCTCCACTGTGGATGGTGATTGAACACCTAATGCAAGGATTTTAGTGTCGTCAGTTTGAGACGTATTGCCATAGGTGAGACTCTTACGAGGTAGTTGATTGCGTTGAGTTTAACAACTGCAGTCCATTTTATGGTCAAAGTTTGGGCATTAGACTTACTAAAGATGGATGAAGGTATGCAGCGAAAAATGTAATCTGCAATTATTTCATCCAAATAACGGTACTAATAAGAGCATGTTCAACGTTTGTTTAAATAAAGCGAGCTTTGCTAATGATTACCTTGATTGTGTTGTTGGAGTTTGAGCTACGTAGTCATTTTAAAGGTGTATTTGGAGCTTGCGTGAACTCAAAGACACATATTTATCTTTTTAGTTTATTATCTAATTTGGCAAACATTCATGTAGATAAGATGTCAGTGCACATTGGATAAAAACATCACCATCAGTCTGAATTAAAAAAGACAACAGCAACTTTAAAAAACTTTTGGTGGATAGCATATTAGCCGTTAAGCTAAGAATAATTTTCACGTATAACCTTTAAAAAACAACTTAATTAAGTTTGAACACTAACGAAAATGAAATTAGCCCGCATATTGTATTGGCAACGTGTGGCACCTGAATTTTGTCAAAATGTAAAAGTTTATACAGCCCCGACAAATAAATAAATGGAAAGTAAAAATATAAATAAAATAAGAAAAATAATCAATCTCTGTTTTAATAATAATAATAATAATAATAATAATAACAATAATAATAAAAAAAAATAATAATAATAATCAAAGCCGCTTTAATAGGTCTTGTATGTTTTTATTTCCATTAATTTGGACATACCGTAGGTCTAAATGCAGTATTTATCAGAAAATGGAACCACAGCAAGGGAAAGTATAGGCTTCTATTTGGATTTAGGACAGGCCTCTCTGTTGGGAACACACTGGTTGCTGTCTCGCGAGACCCGATATTGACCGTAAGGACAGGTACATCCTATGGCACACTGCATAGTGCAAATTTTTTGATATACTTCGGACTCGTCACAGATGTTCCTACACCCGGAAAAACAAAACCTCCAAGTCAAGTCTCCGGGGCAATCAGGAGGCACCCCTGGGACAAATATGGAATGAAAACGGGAATTTCTGTGAGTACATGTACAACACAGGTCAATTGTGCAAAAAAAAGAGCACACCTGAAACTGTTAGTAAATTTATTGAATAAGTATGATAAAATGACACAGAAAGCTAGATTTAAGATTCACAAACACAACTTTACTGTAGAACAAAGGGGAATATGTGGGGAATGTTTTTTGTTTTTGTTTTTTTGCTTTGCCTCGTTACTATGGAATCCCAGGAGGGCCAAGCGAAAAAAAATTGAAAAAAAAATTTTTTTTGAAAAAAAAAAAAAAATTAAAAAAAAAAAAATTAAAAAAAAAAAAAATTTAAAAAAAAAATTTT